ATGTTTCCTAGCATAGCTGCAGAAGTGCTGAACCCACCAGATCTGCAGTGTGCCCCCCCCTGGAAATGTGGCTCTCTGGGCAGGCTTCAGGAAAGCAAGTGAGCTGCTGGGGGGGTCTCTTTATTCCACAAAATCGTTCTTGTCCCACAGCTTTTGGCCAGCACTCCAGGTTGTGGGAGACAGCAAAGTGCATCCAGCACCAAACCTTCAGCATCCCCCCGGGATGTGGGTGCAAGCACGGTGTGCAGGGCCAGGCTATGGGCAGCCAGAGGTCCTGCTCCTGCCTGTGGTCATCTGCGTCCCACTGAGCTACCAGCGAGTGCCCCCAGGCCCCATCCTCGCCTTAAACTACCCCAGTCCCATCTGTCACCATATCTGGGGCATCTTTGCCGCATGATTGGCACGGGGCTTGAAAAGGCAGCACAAGAGGGGCCATGTGGCAACCCTGCCGACGGGGAGGGGGCGGCGGGGGAGCAGAATGAAATATTGTGACAGGACACTTCAAGCCCCAGCTAATCACAGCTGCCGAGGGCTGAAGAGTGCTATACATCCCCTTGTATCAGCCAGCGCATTCCTGGCAGCATTATTAATTCAGAGGAGTCCCTTTAATTTGAAGCAGAGATTAAGGCTTTCCCCGGCTGGCCTCACCGCGGCTGCAAAGGCAACAGGCAGGGCTATTGTAAGGCCATTAGGGAAGAACAATAGGACGCTGAAAGGGGAGCGCGGGTGAATAGGAGAAAGAGACTTGGCTTGTGCCGGAGCCGGCGCGGCGCGACGGGGAGCGGCAGATGGAGCGGGGCGGGTTGCCGGGCAGAGCCGGGCGGGCAGCTGGCGGGGCGCGACCCTCCGCCGGCACGGCTCGGCATGGCTCGGCACGGCAAGGCACGGCACGGCACGGCTCGGCCTCCCTCCGGTGGCACAGTCTCCGCTGGCACGGCCTCCGGCGGCACGGCCACCCGAGGGGCGAGCCGGAGCGCCGGTGCCTGGCTGGGTTTTTAAAGGTTTTGTTTTATATTTGTTTGTTTATTTATTTATTTATTTATGGGCAGATTTGGTGGAAAGGTCTTTGCATCCTCCGGGTTTTGGTGTTGTTTTCACTCTCACCGGTTATGAGCAGCTCTGGCCATCGGGGCTGCAGGCAGGCGCCCGGCGAGGTGCACGCCGTGCCTGCGCAGAGAAACCTGCTCGCATCTGGTGGAGCCGATCCCCTAAGGATGCCTTAGGGAAGGTCAGACAGGAGATGTTGGTGAACATCCCGACAGTCGCTGTCATATTTTTCAAGCAGGTGTAATTTTATGGTTGGGTTTCTCAAACTCCTTCACGGCGCTTTTGTGCAATTCTCTTTGGAAGAGAAATGACCTGAAAGCGAGCTCATGGCTGAGCAGCTTGGCACCATCCCAAGCAACTGCAACTGCAGACACCCAGACGAGGCACTCTGCCTCAAACAAGCTGACATCCCCTTGTCTTTATGGTCTCTGCTCCCTCCAGTTCATGGTCATGCATGTAATTGCTGATCAAACTGTGACTGCCTTTGCTTCCATGGAAAAAAGTCACTTTTGGAAACTATGGGGAGTATTTTTAGATACAGAGGTGGAAACAAGGCGAAGGAGCCAGCACCCTGTGATCAGGTCACTTTGTGCAGACCATCACCAGGCACTCTTTGGACCACTCACTCTGCAAAGTGCTCTTTGGGAGCAGCAGGGTCATTAAAGGTGACAGCTGCAGTGCAGCACGCAGAGAAAGGTCTTACTCTTCAAAACAATGCCATCTAGGCTTTCTTCAGCTTCTCCTTCTCTGCACCGCAGTGCTCACAGCCTGTTTGCTTTCACCTTACCTCATTTTTTTCCACTTTTTTTCTTTTTCTTTCATACCTTATTCAAAATCATCACAGTCTACAATTTCACATTTATTCAGGGCACAACTGTATTTTCCGTACCATAAATGCATTGGAAGTGATTATGGAAATTAATACATCTCCTATTATTATTTTTTATTGTCATTGCTCAACTATTGCTTTTATTTATTTATTTATTTATTTCCTGGGTCCAACTCAGACCTGTTCAGTCTTCAAGTACAGACTGCTCACTTTCAGTCAACTGCAGCTACATGGATCTGCAAAGGGTTTGCCCTCCACCAGTATCTGTGCTGTTCTCCCGTCTTCCTGGTCTTGACATGCATTACTTAGCATCTGCAAAGCCTGTCAAAATATCAAGAGGAAAAAACATAAGAGCACTTAGAAGTCTTGCTCTGCAACCAGCTGACACACTAGACATGGGAACTGCAATTTCTGTTTCCGAGTAAAATGAAAAGTTTCTGCACGGAAGAATGTAGCTATCAAAATGGGATAAACCTGCTCCAGAAGTCTGGGTAGTTTAGTAAATAATGAATCAGAAATTGTCATGGTCTTTTCATGGGAGAACATCTGATTATACATTTGCAGCAATCCACTTTGTTGATTTTGAGTGTTTTTGAGATGGGTTCCTGAAAGTCCTTACACCTTTCTGTTGTGAAGCCAGGAATTTTGCTGCTGCAGTAATTGGGAGAGCCAAGCCATCACCACCAGGAGCTGCAGGCTTCATAAGCTGGCCAGCAAGTAGCAGCCTTGTACCCACGTTCCCCCATCTTATCATCTCATGTCAACATTAATTCCCTGAATAGTGCGATTGGAAGGCCCAAAAGGCAAACACTTCAATTGCCAGTGGAAACTTGCAGCATATGGAGAATAGCGAAAAAATAACCATCCAGCTCTGACGCTGTGTTCCCGGCACGGGGCTCTCGCTCTGTCCTTCACTGTGGGCGAGTTCACAAGGCAGACGACAGCAGCATTGCTCTCTGACCCTGCAGCAGATTCCCAAATGCCAGCAAACACAGGAGGCAGGGCAAAGTCAAAGCACAGGCTTTGGTGTCGGCACAGGTGTGGGCCACAGGGCTGTGCTGCTCTTCTGCTGGGCAAATTTTAGGCTGTGATCTCCAACAGGGGCACTGGCCACCTGGCTGCCATCCTGCAGTCCACAGGTACGCCGCTCTTCACCACTATGGAGATCAAAGGGCGAGGCAGGAGAGCAACTGCATGTCATGGCTCTGCAGCTCCTCTTTGAAAACCTCAGATGGGGTCAAGGACCACATGCACATGTGTTTGTGCACAGACATCCAGAACACACCTTACACAGTGCCTCAGAAGCGTTTAAGGTCACACTGTACTCCCATCCTGAAAGGCTGCTGTCAAGTTTCATCAGCTTGACACTCAGAAATTAAGCTGTATAGAGACCCATCTGCAAAAGTAACCATGACCCTCTGTGTAAATTAAGTGTTTCTGCAGACAAATGCCTGTTTGCAGCCTTAATTATTGTCTGTATAAATGCTTTGCACTTCTCACTCTGGGAAAACTGGCTGCAAATGAAGGCATACCTTTCACATGTGCTCTTGTTTATGGGACTTTGTGTTCACTTTTGAAAATGCAGTCCTAGGTCACTGCACTGAAGGAGATCAGCCACGGCACATGGCTTTAAAATGTGTTTTGCTAAAAAGGTTACCTTGACCCACTGTGGTCACTAATAGGGCAACAGGATCAACATGAGCATCACTCCTGTAAGTGCTTTTTCATGAGGCTCCTTGCAGGGAAAATGAAGTCTCTTCCATTCCTGCCTGTAGTAATTAGAACATAAAATAATTAACACACAGAAATACAGCCTTCCTATGCAAAATCTCGTCTCATATAGCTATTGACATGTTCTTATTTTGTAGCCCCTTAAGTAAGATAAAAGGAAGGATATATTCCTACCCTATGGCACACAGTACTCCTATCTTCTTCTTAGAGCAAAGCTCAAATGTACCCTCTCCCCTTTTCCAGGATGAATAGCCCACCCATTTTCAAGAAAAAAAAAAAAAAAAAGATTATATAAATCTAGACAGTTTCTAGGAATCAAAACATTTTGTGAAGTGTATATACTTGGGTTTTCTGTAGGGCAGTCTGTGAATCTCAATCCATGGATCAAGGAAGTGCCATGGGTTCTTAATTGTGAACAGAGCCTGCCTATAATCCTGCTGCAATTTGTACATAGCAGATGTACATTTGTACGATTTCAAAATCTGTACGTTTTCAGAAATGTTCCTGCATGTGCATTAGGAAAGGGTAGCTGCACGCACACTTTTGCAACACGAGCAAATATCTGCAGGCAATCTTTAGATAATCCTACGACCTTAAACATGCATATGCATGCAGCCATACAACCAACATGTGCACCTGCACGCCACCGAACACCACCGTGCAACTACTGAGGATCCTTTGCAAAACTTATTTTGTGCAGAAGATTCGTGACAGCAGGGCTCTGGGGAGTTAATTGACCACCTATCCACACTTATTTGAGATCTGGCTAAACTGGGTGTCAGATTACAATTTGTATTTTTTATTTTTATTATTATAGTCAGTAAATACAAGGGCTGTGTAAGTACACTCAGCTATAAAAAATCTTTACTTGCACAGAGTTCCTTGAAACTGGTTCTGCTTCCCTCCCTGTCCCTGTCTCCACCTGCTCTCCCCAGGGAAGGGAGAGCCGGGGGAATGGGGGAGGTTCAACGTGGTTTATTAAGCCTAGGACGGGCACAAGGACCATGTGCAAACAGAGGCAGTGTAACTTGGAAATGACTGGACCTTCACCGCGGGCAAAGTGGCAGATTTATAGTTAACAGTGCGAAACTGCAGCAGGGTGTTGTGGTAACTGTGGAGGGATTACGTCCCCAGCTCCCCAGCACATGCTGGTCACATAACTTACGCAGTTGATTCGGCACCTACCACACAATGCCAGGGTGCTAAACTGAGAAGGATTTAAAGCAGAAAACAAATACTCAGAGACAATCCTCTGTATGCTGAATTTTGGCTTTTGCAATGCATTCTGAGCCTGATAAGTCAGCACTGGAAACAATTATTGGAAAGTGAATAATAATGGCCCCATTACCACAGCACCCTAAGCTGCAGAGCTTCTGTGGCCAGTCCCTGCTGCAGTTGCAGAGGGTTGTTTTGCAGATACCACGTTACAAAACAAACTCCAGCTTCCTTGGGTGCCTGCAGAAAGAGAAACCAAGATTTATTTTCTTCCTCTCATGATCATCAGCAGACACTGTTTTCACAGGGATCTCGAGTAAAGGGACAAAACACGGTGCAAATTGTGCAATTTTCACAGTACTCCTTCTGCCTTTCCCCTCAGCTGCCCGACACCCCTTTTGCGCTAGAGAGAAAGCAACAGCACAGGACAGTTTGTACACAAACAGGGCAGCACAGCGTTAGAGGAGCAAAAGCCCAGCTGAATTTCATAACTAGATGCCGTCCCAGTCATCAATTAGTGTGGGAGGTGGGAAGCTGTTTTCCCTCTGCAAGCGCTGTCGCTGTTGGGAGTTTATTTATAAGCACTTTGTACTGCAGAATCAGGGGCTGCTCTCGGAAAGCTTTGACTATCAGGATACCGTCCTAACTTAGCTTCGCCCCCCTCCCCGCCTCCTGTCTCCCTCCCAGCACACCACCACCCTCCTCCCCTGGCCACAGCTTTTTGCCTGGAGGGTTTTTTGGCACGGAGACAGTAGGAGCCCTTTCAGGACTTCACAGGAGCAGAAGGGAATGGTGCAACTCTTTATATGCCAACGTGTAAATTCAGCTCCAAGACTTTTCCAAATCAGCCGAAACCTCCCGTAAGTGTAAATACAATTTCTCAGGGTCCTGCATGAATGCTGAAAGCACTCGGGTTAAGCGATAATCAACAATGTCAGGGAGTTTGCATTCGATCTGCTGTAGCAGTAACACAATGTTCTGCCAGAAGCAGTGCAGAATGCAATGCTGGGAGAGCAGGAAGCTAGTGGGAAGGGAAAAAAAAAAATGCAAGCCTTGTCCTTTACGCTTTGCTGATAGGGAAAAATAAATAAAAAACATAACCTTTCACAAAGGGCTGACTCCGGGTCAGTCTGAAGGGCTGGGCCATGCACAAGGCAGAAAAGCAAGAGGAGAAAGCACCAGAGCTGTCTTTCTCAGGCACTGCACAGGAGAAAGCCCCTCAGCAAAATGGGCACCGATTCTTCCTCTCTTCCTTATTAATCCTTCCAAGTAAATATGGTGTCATAAACCCTTCCCTCAGTCCCTTTCCCTCCTTCCCACCTATAATAAAAATCTCTTGGCCAAAAAGAAGGGAAGCTGGAAGAAGGTGATGTGAGCAGGCACTGATTTCCTAGATGGTGTAACACCCTTCCCCCCATAAGGTTGTTTCTGCTTTATGCCAGTAAAAGTGAGAGTGGAAACCAGCAGTACCAGTCAGTGCTGAGCCTGGGTTCTTCTATCTTTAAGCAATTGCGCTTGAGTGACCTGCTGGCTTGTGCCCCTGCACCCAGGGGTCAAGGACAAGCCAAAAATTTGCTCTGTGGCTTGAGGGAGGCCATGGGGCTGTGGCGGAAGGAGGGTGGGGAGGTGAGGAGCAGCATCGCTGGGCTGCAGGTGTGCTGAGTGCTTCTCCTCCGAGCAGAGGCCACCCCGGCCAGCCCCCTGGGGCACAGGGGGACCTGGTAGAGGAGAGGTGCCAGCACTGTCTTTCTCACTTCCCCACAGGCCAGCGGTGCCGTGCCCAAGCTGGGAGCTGGCTGCTTGTTCGGCTGCAGCGGGAGGAAATGCTGTCCCCGGGGGCCACGCCACAGCATCAGACTGTTCCCAGCTCCGCTCCAGAGACGTTGGGAAACACGTCCTGGGAGCCTGCGTAGTCCTGGGAGCCTGCGTAGTCCTGTGCTCACTGCTTTTGGGTAAGCACCAATCTTTTCTTGCTTGGATTAGCTTTGTTCGTGGAAACCACATCCACTTTTTGTGCTGGCTGCTTACACTGTAAACTAGCACAGAGGTGTTTAAAAAACACTCTGAGGCCCGTTATTCCATTGTCTGCTTGCTATTTTCTCCTTCTCCATTCCTACATGGGAAGAGGATAATGCCACATAATGAACTAATACAGAACATTCCTTTTGCTTTTCTTCTTTCTTCTCTGGCCTTCTTTGGTCAGAGAACTTGTGTCTCCTAAGGCGTGTGCTCCTGTTGCATCCAGCTGCCTCCCCCACCTCAAAGCACCCACGGCAGCTCTGCCTCTGTGTCCTGTTGGCGACGGCATTCATATTTCACTGCTGCACTGCAGGGCTGGTGTGTACCTCTCCTCATGTGCAGATAACCCCCATAAACACACCTGTGCCATTGCTGGCTCTGCTGCTCACAGGGTGGTTGTGAGGAGAGCACTTGCCATGCTCACCAGGACACATGGGAACAGCAATGTTCCCTTGCGGCAGTCAGGTGCTTCATTGCCACAGTCCTTGGGCTGCCATTTAGCCTCATTCAAAGTGACTCAGGCATCAAGAAGACTCTCACCTCCTGACACAGCCTCGGGTTTGCTCCCTGTAAGTGATGGTACAGGCTGAGAGAAGCCCACCAGTGTTGGTTCTCCTCTGCTGGGAGAAGGTGTCCATCCAATTTTTCTAACCAACAGGGTTTTCATGACCTATAAGAATGCTTAAGTGGAAAATGTTCTTCTAGGTCTTCAGGTGAGCATGGCTGAGGCTTTCCTTGTCCAGAGGACAGGTGAGCTGGCTTGCTTTCCTGCCACCTGAAAACACCCCTGAAGTGTACAACATGTCAGTGGCCTGCTCCTCAGCAACAGCCACGACCAAAAACGCCCCAAGAGAAAACTCCTCCCAGCCAAAGTGGGCACATTGCTCTTTACCAGACTTATCAAAGGATAAGTTGTACACATAACAAACGCTACACTGCCTCCAAAAATAGTCAGGTAACAGCTGTGGAGACCACAGGAATGGTTACATGAGGGAGAAAGCAGCCTTTGTCCCAAGACCTGCAGAGCAGGGCTTGGTCATGTTCCTTCACACACAGACACAGCTTTCATGTGTGGATGAGAGGGCTGTTTTCTAAGTCAGGTCAGCCTGATACAAGGAAGGCAGACAAGGGGAAGAGGGATGAGAGGGCAGTGTCTTACCAGGGCCAGTGTTCCACCTGGAGAGCACCAGCTGCTGGTGGCTTCCACCACATCCCAGGCTCCATCACAGACTCATGACCTGACTCACACAGCATGCTTTTTCCATCTCACAGATCAACGTGCTGCTTCAATACACAGCAAAGGCACCAGCAGTCTGCACCACGTCCCTTGGAAAGGCCGATCTCTGTGGTCAGAGATAGAAAACGTGAGAAGGTGACAAGATGTGTGCTGGGCAATAAAAGGGCATGTTTTTCCCTTAGTCTAATTAATGGTGTTACAAGTACAGATTAGAGGAAGAACTGCACCTACCAACATCTGCATATGAGGTGGGAGAAAATGTAAATGCACCCACCTTAGCCAGCAGCATGTCCTGTTACCCTGTAAGTATTGTCAGTTGGAGTTGACACCAAGGAAAGATGCTCCAGGCTCCAGTGCCTTGATACTTTCTGTGCCATCGAGGTTTGTTAGTTCCTGTGCAGAAAAGGCTTTGCAGGAAAGTCACTGCAGCAGTGGGGAACCCTTTTCAAAGGCCTTTTTCTTTTTCCTCCAAATGTTTTACATGCTTTCACATTGCTTGAAGCTTGCAAGAGGCTTGTGTCCAGTCTTGTTTAACACCTTCATTAACAACCTGGATGATGGGGTAGAGAGCACCCTCAGTAAGTTGATGGATGACATGAAACTGGGGGAAGTGACTGACTCACCAGAGGGCCACTCAGCCATGCAGAGGGACCTTGACAGGCTGGAGAGGCTGACCTGACGAATCTCATGAAGTTCAACAAGCAGAAGTGCAGAGTCCCACACTTGCAGAAGAACAACTCCAGGCACCAGTATGTGCTGGGGGTCACCCAGCTGGAAAACTGCTCTGCAGAAGAGAACCAGGGGATCCAGGTGGGCTCCAAGCTGAACATGAGTTAGCAATGTGCCTTTGCTGCTAAGAAGGTTAATGGTGTTCATGGATGGATTAGGTAACTTATTTCCTGAAGGTCAAGAGAGGTGATCCTCCCGCTCTGTTCAGCTCTGGTGAGGGCACACCTGGAGTGCTGTGTCCTGTTCTGGGCTCCCCAGAACAAGAGGGGCATGGAGCTACTGGAGAGAGTCCAATGCTGGGCTGCTAAGGTGATAAAGGGCCTGGGAGTACCTCTCTTCTGAGGAGAGGTTGAGAGACTTGGGACTGTTTAGCCTGGGGAAGAGGAGTCTCAGGAGGGGTCTCCTTACAGTCTATAAATACCCAAAAGGAGGGTGCAACAAGGACAGAGCCATGCACTTTTCAGGGATGCCCAGTACCATGACAAGAGGAAACGGGTGCAATTTGGAACACAGGTGGTTCCATCTAAACATCCTGGAGCACTTCTTTACTGTGTGGATGAGAGATCATTGGCATAGATTACACAGAGAGATTGTGTGGAGTCTCTCCTCTTGGAGATCATCAGAAGCCACCTGGATGTGGTCCTGGGACACCTGCTCTAGGTGTCCCTGCTTGGACAAGGTGACCTCTGGAGGTCCCTTCCAGCCTCAATCATTCTGTGATTCTGTGATATTGCCATGTTCAATTCAGTAAAAGCATCAAATCAAAGGAATTCACATTCCTCCTGCAATGCTATGTAACATAACTAGAAATATTGAAGAAGAAATTCATTAAGTAGGCATTTTTTCCAGAAATAACATTGCTTCCCTCAAATACATAGAGAAAATTTTCAGCTTTGGAAAAAGACAATCCTTCCACCAGGATTTTGGTTTGCCATAATTTTTAGGGAGCCTGATCAGTTACCCAAAACCAAATCTAAGGGCAACATGGTCCTTTCGGTGCCATGGCCTCTACAGGGCTCACGGACTTTCATAGAAGTAGAGTTTGTGTTCCCCATGCCATAGAGACTGATCTCTCCATGAATACTTACGTATCAGCTTCTGTTGAGTAGATAATTAAAAAAAAAAAAAAAAAGATATAGTAAAACAACAAACAAACAAACAAACAAACAAACAAAAAGATGAAGAACACTGAGATCTACCCCTCATCTGAAAACTACATGCCACCTACAAAAGGATGGTCCCTATTCAGACACCAAATGTGTTGTAGCTGCAGGCTCCACAAACTAAAAAGTGTGGGTAGGGAAAGAAGACCATTACAAGTATTGCTCAAGTCAAAAATGTGATGTATCATAGTATCAGAATGGCTTGTGTTGGAAGGGACCTTAAAGGTCCAGTTCCAACCCCATGCCATGGGCAGGGATGCCACCCAGTAGATCAGGTAGCTTAAGGCCTTGTCCAACCTGGCCTTGAACACCTCCAGGGATGGGGCATCCACAACCTGTTCCAGTGCCTCACCACCCTCTGAGTGAAGAACTTCTTCCTAACCTCTAATATAAATCTCCCCTCTTTTAGTTTAAAACCACTCCCCTTTGTCCTGTTATTGTCTGCCCAAGCAAAAAGTTGCTCTCCATCTTTTTATAAGCCCTCTCTAAGTATTGAAAGGCTGAAATGAAGTCTCCCTGGAGCCTTCTCTTTTTCAGGCTGACCAGCCATAGGTCTCTCATTTTTTCTTTATAGGAGAAAAACTGCTAGTTCGTATAGGCTTTGTCTATCTGTTCCTGTTGTTGTTGTGGTTATTTCATAAACATTATATAGCACTTGTACAGCATGTGATGATGCATATAACCCGACTACAGTCATAAACACTGCTTATTCACGTAAGTGGTCATAACTTGGCTCCAGACAACTTGGAGGTGTTAAATAACTGACAAAGATTATTTATTTATTTATTTATCGTTTGTAATCAATGAATCTCAGGTGAAACTAGATATTAAAACAGAAAAATTGGAAAGATGCATTATTTTCATACAAAATATACTCATCACTTTTTTTCCCCACATTTGAGCAAGTTTTTTATCTGGCTTTTACTGCCCTCCAATTTATAAGATAAAATCGTGAAAACAAGAAGTAGTATAGTGTCAAGAGGAAGGAAAGTAAACACAGTTAATAAATGTACCTTATCTGAATGACTGTCAGATATGCACAGCTGAAACCTCTTCACTTCAGACTTCTACAAGTGTGGTCACTGCAGAACAAAATTACAGCTATTGCTAGGCTATATTTAAGCTGGTTCACAGGAGTGTGCTGATAGCAGGCAGCTAGCGCATTTGGATTTCATTCTCAATAAAAGAAATTTTGGGAAATCCCCTTTTATAATAGTGAGCTTTATCAAATGGGGTGCGTTCTGTTCTGTATCTCAGTTTGAGTCAGCCTAATTTCCATACATGTTAGATAATGACTATCTACTAATAGAAGACATTGGCTGATTCTGGTAATTGATATGCGAGAGGAAAGAAGGACCTGCTAGTTTAGACAAAAGCTAGAGATGAGGAAATGAATGAAAGTTGTTTTGTATTATCTGGCTGGCTTACCAAAAAAAAAAAAAAAAAAAAAAAAAAAGTTTCACACAGAAATAGTTAAAAAAAATAAAGTAAAAAAGAGAATATCTTAGTCAATTGTTAAAATTAAGTGACAGACCATTTGAGCCCCATTCAGTGGACACCCATTCATCTGTTTCTAAGTGGAAACACTCCATGGCCCAGCCCTGGTGACAGTATCAGCGAGACAGGAAAACCTGAATGGGGTTGCTGATATCAGAAAAGTGAAGCTGATAACACCAGCTGTGTCAGAGGGTGAGGAATGGCTCCCAGTGAGGCTCACACTGTTCATTGAGCAAGGAAGAGCATCCGTTGCCTCCTGGGGCCACGCCAGTGGGCTGCTTGGCTGGAAGGGACATTTGCAGAACTGATGAATTTAAGTCGTTTGAGGAGCATATTAGCCAAGCATTCCTTCAGACCTTACAAAGATTTGCAGCACAGACCATATTATAAGCTATGCCAGCTCTCACGATAGAAAACAGTAGTAAAGTTATCCCAGTCAGACCAGAATGCATTGCTTTGTACCCTGAAAGAGTGCAGCTCTATCAATCCTTATGTAATATGGAGTGGGACACACACCTTACCTTAAGCAGTTGGTAAAGAAAGTCTTTGACCTTCCAGATAAGTAAACTCATATTTAGCTTCTCTCCCTTGGAGCAACGGGAGTCACTGGGGCTGTGAGCTTGCCGGATGTAGGCATGTACTGTACTGAGATTGAGGTTTAAAGTCCTAATCCTGCAAATACTTCCCTGTGCATGAAGACGCGATGAAACCGATGACATTTGTCATACAGTCAGAGCTGAACAGCAGCAAAGCCTAGCAGTAAATACACCTTGCTGCAGACCAGCCTGGGGTAAGGTGCGCTGTGGGTTCACCACATGTAGCTGCGGATGGACAGTCTGCTGTTCTGACTGAACTCATTTAATGAGACTTTTAATCAATCTTCACTCAACACTTTCCTCGGCTTCGTGGACTGACCCGTTGATCTGCATTTTCTGCCAACAATTAGATGTAATAATGTCAGTCTTTCAATGCAGTATTTTCCTAAATTCTTCTAATAATCGCTGGATCAAGCTGGTGGTAGACAAAAGTACACAAAGTGGGGAGGCTTGATCTGTAACCAGCACTGTGTTGTGATCCTAAAACACTGGGTACCTTAGTAACTAAGGTCCTGTTGGCAAACAGAGCTTGCCTGTAAGAATTGTATGTAGAAGAAATGCAGGATCAACAGAAGACGCAGAGGCAGCCTCCTGGAGAGCAGACCGTAATAAAAACGGTATTCACAGGGAACATGGGATCTTCCAGTCCATGTTGATTTTGTGAATGATCCCTGATTTCTAGACTTAGACTTAATTTATGTGTTCTCATTTGAAATTTCCCAGCTAAGCACAATACATTTCTTTAGGGCCAAATTGACAGATTTATATTTTTTATCTTTTTTTTTTTTTTTTAATCTAGAAGAGATTTTCCAGTTTGTTTGTTTGTTTGTTTGTTTGTTTCTGGGGGCTGCCATTATCTGAAGTATGTGGTTCATTTCTTCACTATATTCCCATGGAATACATGGAGCTGGGATGCCCACTGTTCCCACCAGAACAAAGTCTCAGGTCCAGGGACTGAACAGTTAAGCTTCTGCAAAACAAAAGGTTGAGCAGCCATGTATGTACCACAGTGACTTATGAAGTATCCCACTTATTCATTGTGCTCATTATCCACACCACAAAAAAAAAAAAAAAAAAAAATAGCCCATTGTCTCCCTCATACTATTACCACAAACCTATGTTGCTGACTTTGTTTTTATCTAAGCCTGACTTCTAAAATCACCTTCATCTCCTATAGGCCTACATGACCTTTAGCATAGGGTCCAGTTGTAGATCCCGACATAGGGACTGGCAGGCACACTGCTAAAGCCAAAATGCCAGGGAGGCAGCCTGGGAAATTGACCCCCTCCTGACTCTGTTAGCAGGCCAGGTTCCAGTCCCAGTGTTTTCATAGGCCTCTGAAATGGACGCCGAAGGCTCCAGGTCTGTATTTCCTCAGGCAGGCTTTGTGCAGGGGCAGAACCCCTCACCCATGCAGCACAGGTGCGTGCCTGGAAGAGGAGGTGGCTGCAGGCATGACTCAGTGCCTGCTGGAGTCACTGGGCACATCTCCAAGTCAAGAGCGATGGGGATTGTGCCTGACGGCACTTGCCCAGCTGGTGAATCCCCAGTAAGACACCACAAGTGAAGCTGGGAGGGTGCAGAGGCTCTGGCAGCAGCTGGCAGGCAAGTTTCTATAGATGCCCAGGACTAACCCCCAGGCAGCCAGCACACACCACCTGCCAGACCTCCTCAAGGCAAAGGACTTTTTGGGGGCTTTCATCTCTTTTACCAACAACCTGGGCTGTGCCAGCAGCACAGTGACAGCAGCACCTTCCAGCTGCTCCACAGCCCCTCATGCATGCATGCAGCGGGTGGGCCAGGAGGGGAAGGGGACAAACCTCACCCCTCCTCCAGAGCATGTCTCAGCCTCTCATGGGGGTGACAGAGCTGTAACGAGGTCAGATGTGTCATGCTCTGTGGGTTACAAGTGAAGGTGCTAATTAATGCTTGGGATATGCATAAGATCCGAATTTAGCAGAAGGCTCAATTGCAGTAGAAGCACAGAGTCATAGCATCACAGAACACCCTGAGCTGGAAAGCACCCAGCACAACCATCCAGTCCCACTCCTGGCTCCACACAGAACCACCCAAAAAACAGACCATGTGTTGTCCAAATGCTTCTTGAACTCTGTCTGGCTTGGGACTATGACCACTTCCTCCTTGGGCAGCCTGTCCCAGTGCCCAACTCCCCTCTGGGTGCAGACCCTTTCCCTAACCCCCAGCCTGACCCTCCCCTGTCCCAGCTCCATGCCGTTCCCTCAGCTACTTCAGTGGCACCATGCCAAACCTTTCACAAAGCAGAAGCACTGCCTTTACCTGAGCTGGGAAGGACAGTACTGAGCATTAACACAGGATGCTCAGAATATTTATTTCCAAGTCACCAGAAGAACCAAGAAGGAGGGATAGAGAAAGGCAGGCTTGTCTCTGAAGCTGAGCCCCAGTGACTGCTCAGAGCCCATGTGCAGGCTAACTGAGCTGTCCTAGCCAGCATGGACTAGGGGAAGAGGCATGGTGAAGGGGCACGCGGAGCTGCTCCAGCTGCACGGGGCACCAGGACCTTCTGCAAACAGGGCTCTATTCCTGGCTTGTTTGTCCTGGTTTGTGTCCTCACTTGACACAAGCCCTCTGCAGCTACCTTCCAAAACCTGCTGTAGGGTTATTATTAGAAATGAGAAGACCTGGAGCTCTGCAAACTTTCCAGCCCAGAGAAGCTAGGGGCTGCAGAGTGGCTGGTACCTGTGCAGGCACTGGTATGTCAGTGGCATGGGGCACCCTGTCCTCCCTATGGGACTGACACCGGCCCCACGCTGCCCCAGCCTCAGGGCCAGCAAGCACGTGGGCCAGCTGCAGGCTCTGCACAGCACTGTGGTATGGAGAAACATTTCACAGCCATGGGTCCGGCTGTAGCTTGCACCTGGTTACATTTCAAAGTTGTTTTTTTTTTTTTTTTACATTTTGTTTGTTTGTTTGTTTTTAAGGAAGTATAAAATCAAAAACAAACATATATATATATATATAAAGTCCTCTTTGCTTTCTGTTTGCAAAGTAAGATGATCTCCGTGAAATCTAGGCACCAAATGTATCTCTCTTGGAAATATCAGATTGCACTCTGGGCTCTGGTGAATGTTTTTCATAATGTTTTTGAAACACAAGCTCTGGGAGGTATTGTTTACAACCCAGGCCAAGGAAATCACAGAGCAAGATGAAACACAAAGCAAGTCTGATAGGAGATATAGTTACATTCACGATAGCAGATCTGATAAGGAGAGAAGTCTGCATTATGACACTTCTAATATAAGCTGAAAGTGGTTGGAAAACATTTACTATATGTCTCTGGCTCAAAAGTGCTATGGGTAGTAGTGAGTGCAAGAGTGTATATGTGCTTTACCACTGCAGCGTTTTTCCATCACATCCCAGGCACCCATCTGAGGGGAAAGTTTCTTGGTAGGAGCAGCCAGGGCTGAAATAACAACACCAAGGAGGAGAAGCTGGCTGCTGTCCACGAGGCTTGCTGCGGCTTGCAGCTCACTGCCGGCAGCCAGCCCAATGGGCTGGGGAGCGCCAGGGACACGTGCTCTGTGCGGAGCCAACACCAGACCCCTGGCAGAGGGACGGGAAAAATTACCCGAGCTGCTCATCCAGCTTTGCTCCCTGCTCTGGGGATGGGGATCAGCTAGATAACCACAGCCCTTGTCTGCATGGTGCCCCATGCGTGTGGCCACATGGACCGTTGCTGCTGCTCCACGTGCTGGGGCAGGAGGAAGCGTGCTGCTGCCTGTCCGCAGACAGTGCCGGCAGGAAGCAGGAAGGGGAGCCAGCCGCCCCCTCGGTATCGCTTTCCACATCCCGCACTTCTTCACCTCTGGCCCAAAGACAGGCCCGCACTGGCAGGGCAGCGGGGCGGGAAAGCCTGTCCCACGCTGCAGCAGGAGTCCTGAAAAAGGTAAACCTCTGAGTCATCTGAAAAATCATCTTAAAAAGGTAAATCTCTCTCTAATATGCAGGGTTCGTTGCTTTCTGGTAAGCCTCATAGCCTCAGCACCACAAAACTCCTCATGCTGCTGCACAGGTTCAGGCTGTATAAAGGAGGGCCTGGAGAACACAGGCCAGAGCTGCACACAGATTTGTCTGCTGAGATCCCCACCAGCACGCAAGCACCACCACCTTGCACTTCTGCATATACCATTCTTTCTCCCAGGTGTATAATCAGGGATAGAGAAAAGTCACCTAACAATGCTGGAGAAGTGGAAGAAAACTTCCAGTTTCCAGCATGACATACTACCCTAGAAACCTGAATGACTTTTTGACAATAATGAAATTGAGGATATGTTTGGAAATAAGGAAATGAGGGTTTGTGTAGGGAAACAGCTTGAACTCCGAT